GCGGTCCTCGGTCTGGCTCCTGCTGTCCCGCGCGTGCTCCCCGCTGGACGAGCGGTCCCTCCGGGTGCGGTAGTGTCCTCGGTCAACCTTGCGGAGGCTGCTGATCTTCTCCTTCCCCGGAGACCGGGCCTGGCCTTTCTGCCCAGCCTTGCTGTCTTCACGTGGCTCCGCGGGGCTCTGCTCGGGAGCCCCTACCCCTTCTGAATGGTTTTCCGTGACTTTGTCCAACTGAGAAGAGGGCGGCTCGTCTGTAGGTGCCCCCGAGATTTTAGAAACGTCTGAGACTTTAGAAACGTCTTCTGCATCCGTGCGCTGGTCTCGGCTGCTGTGGACGGAGGGCCCCTGCTCGCCATCGCCCTCGGGACACGCCGCGGGGCTCGGGCTCAGCCTCCCCGTGGTGTCCCCTGCTGCCGAGTCCCGGGGACTCTCTGCTGACGTCCCTGGTGTATCCTGGGATGCTCTGCTCTCCTCCCCTGTCCCATTCCCAGGGTCGCACAGTTCAGAGAGGTGTTCGTCCCCAGCGCTGTTCTTGTTGGCGGTACAAAGGGGGTTGACACTGGGCACGCACTCCTCGGGTTTTGCTGAAATGCTCTCAGGGACTTGTTCTTTGGTAGATGGAGATTGGATGCCGGGGTCCGGGGGCGGCGAAGCCTTCTTCAGTTTGCTGCTAAGCCCCGTGGCCGTCTCCAGTTCCTCCCGGGCGTCAGGAGTGGGGCTGCCGGGCTCCAGTCCTGCCTCAGGACGCTCTGTCTGGCTCCCGTCTGTTCCAGGTGCACTGCAGCCCAACCAAAACAAAGAACAAATTAGTCATTCGCCAGATTGCTTTACGGGTTCCTGTCATTGGCTCACAGGGACAAACACTTCAAAACAGCCATTTACTAAGTATTTTATGCCTTTAACATATCTGATTGAAACCCAATAGTGAACTTACCGTTTTCTGAAACGTCAAATTGTCTTTCCCTCATTAAGTAAAAATATGAAATGTTCTATCAAGCCCATCTCCTATCCATGCTCTAGCAACAATGCTGAGGTTCTAGGCTGCTTCTGTTCCCAGGGAGGCTAAGTCTGAACATCCAACCGGTCAGATGACGGGGAGGCTCAACTGCTCCTCCGGACCCCTTTCCCCCGACAGGGCCGAGCTGCTGCAATGACTCAGAATCGCTGAGGGATCGCTGGGCTTCGGGAAACGAGCTCTGCCCTTGGTCGCCGGGGAGCTTTCGATGGATGTGAGGCTAATGAAAGCTGCCAAGAGACCATCAGAACCCAACAGGGGCCCCACTTTTCGCAGGAAGGTGTCTGGGAGAGGGTATACAGACGAGGTTACTACACGTTTTCTAGAGCGTGGCAGTGAGATTCTCAAGTCAGCACGTGGCGCAACACACCCGGTTACGCCCCATGCGCGGCCTGGCTCACACAGCGAGCTGTGGTCACTCCCATGCACATACGTGTGCGGACACGCTGAGCTAGACTAGGGAGGCAACAGAAGGACCTATATGCCCGTGACCGAGTGCTCACGCTGCTCCATCTTCCAGGGAGCCCAGAGCTGGGCGTTTCCTGCCTCCAGGATTGACTCCATTCCACTCGGCTCAGCCAGCCTTCCCTGCAGTGGCCAGTGAGGCAGCACTGCCAGCACCATTGGGAAAATGGGGTGCATTTCTGGGTTGTCACAATGAAGGGGAGCCCCGCTGGCACTAGCAGGCAGGGGAGAGGCAGGCAGGCCCACGGAACAGGCGAGTGCCCTGTGACGGGCAGCTCCAGGGAAACAAGCTTTTCCAGGAACACAGCTAGCGGGTCTGAGCGCCACTTAAGCTGCCCACCACGAGGACTCATTTCCCTGGTGGTGGCTGCGTGTGGCGCGGGGCTCCGACCTCAGGCCGCACTGGAAGCTGTCACATCGCAGCAAACCCGGCCTGCTGCGTTGCTGCCTCGCATAGTGCAGGCTCGCCTGGCTGCCACATGCTGCAATACAACTGCTACACATTCCTTTCCTCCTACTCCCATTACATTTAGGTCAATATCCTGGTTTTTTTAAATGACAGTGTGGAAGCGGGACTACCTTTTCCATAAATGTGGTTTCAGAATTCTGGAGGGGGCAAGACCAAACACGTGCTCCCGACAGCCGAGAACCACGGCCCTGTCCTGGGCGGAGGACGTGGGCGGGCTAGGTGCCCAGCAGCAGTGTGCTGACAGCCCTGAGGAGAAGACACGCTAGCTGAGGGCAGCAAGCTTTCCTGGACGATCAGCTGATACATTTTTTCTTTACTTTTTATAAAAGCAAATGAACGAATGCCATAGATCACTCAAGTCATCCCAGGAGTCAAGACATGTACAGAGTTACACTAGTGACAGGCCCAGGACACCCCTGGGATTTCCTCCTGAGTTAGTTACCTTGTCTCATCCGTCGAGCCTTTCCCTCTGTTGCCGAGCTTGAAAGCCTCTAAGATTTTGTCTTCCGGGAGAGGTGGCAAAGGAGCGGGCATCAACTACAATAAAGAAACAAAGATGCTCCAACTCTCATCGCTACTCCCCACCTCCTGAAGTCTAGCCAGTGACCCGCCCACCCCCGCCCAACCCCACTCACCTTTCCAGGGAGACCATTTGCCTTAGAAAAGGGGTTTTCTGAGTGTAGGTCAGGCTGGACTTGGCAGCTGGCACCATCGAAGGACAGACCGTTCTCTTCCGGGTCACTGTCCGGACTGACATTAGCACCATTTAGAGTCACAGGCTCTCGACGCTCGTGCTGAGCGGCCTCGTCAGCCTCAGCGTCCAGAGCAGAAGAGTTCAAGCTCTCGGCCGTGCCCAGACCGTTCTCCCTGCCCAGGCCCTTGGCTTTTCGGCACCGTAGGGGACCAGGACGCTGGAGCTCAGCTTGGAGTTGCCGTTCATCACTGGCTTGGAGCAGGACTCACTCGGGGCCGCCGGCTTTGTGACTTTACTGGGAGCTGGCGTGGTGGGGGCACTCGAGGTAGACTGTATTGCAGAAGAAGTGGTAATGGTAGAAGAGGGAACGGGCTTGGTAGGGTTCTCCAAACAATTGTTGTGAAGGTGAGGCTGAGACTGACCTGGGCGAACAGGTAACTTGTTGTGAATACTGATGGTGATTTTTTGTTTCTTGGGATGTTCCGGGATCACTGAGGCCCTGTTAACTGACCAGTTCTGAACAGAAGTTGAAGCGTTAACAGCACCAGCTCTGCTGACGCTGGCATTTCCATTAGGACTCGACACGGAGCTGCTGGGCGTTTCTTTCAAAGGTCCGGTCCCATTCAAGTGGGGTGGGTTCTGGAAGCAAGAAGACCACAGCCCTGATGAGCTCCAGAGTCACAGGCAGAGAACCCACTCTGGCTACAGACCCTTCCCAGGGGGTCTTTTTCTTTTTATAAATTACAAGCTTTACACACCTAGAAACACCCTCTCTCCTCACCCACTCCTGCCTGCACAAACCTTTCACAGGTCATCGTTTTCTGATAATTAAGCAACCAACAGCGACAACTATTTTTGCCCAGAAAACGTGGCCCAGAGAAGAGTGCCTTCAGGCACCACTGGCCACCCCACCCTCCCCCAACAGTATCTCTGAGTCCCAGATTCCACCTACTGCCGCCACACCCCGAGGCTGCAAACTGGAGGTCATGGGTGAAATCTCGTTCACAGATGAATTCTGTTTGGCCTTCACAATGGTTTCTTAAATATCTGAATTAGTTCCTATCTTAACATTGAAAGGTTTCCTGGGGTGGGGGTGGCGGGGGGAGACTCTTGAAAAATCAGTAGCAGCCACCGCTCAGCACAGGGCTGTGCTCTCCTGATGTCACCCTCACAAAGAGTCCAATTCAGGAGCCCGCTGCCTGCCCAGCCCCCAGAGGCCTCAGAGGTGTAACTCCTGCCATAATCCACACACTGCCCATGGCCACAGGACACAGCGCACAGCTGGACAATCTGCTGGTTCAAAACCAAAGGAACTCGAAATGAAGGCTGCTCACACACTACAGCACAGAGGACAGGGATGATTCCGACATGTGGACAAGCCGTCACGACCTCACACGGAGTCTACCAAAAGGTGGGCCTCGGTTCCACAAAGCGTCTCAAGGCGCAGGCCTGTCATCAGTTCTCCCCACGAGGCCACCTGGGAGTGTGGCCACACCCAGCTGGACACAGAAAGCGCCACACTGGTGAAAGGGCTGAGCAGACGTAATGAAAGTGTCCTGTCGGTTCGGGGCCACTTGCCTGCAGTCCAGCATTAATAAGGGTCCCCAAGTATTTCACCAAGTGAAGGGAAGTCCAGCGCGAGAGCTAAACTCTCTAGCGTTTAAATACCCTTATACCCGGGATCTGCTTCTTCACCGTTACATCCACACTCTGCGATGTGCTGTGCATTTGGAATATTTTATAATGAACCAGTGGCCCGGTGCACGGATTCATGCACATTGAAAGGAAATTAGAAGAAAGATTCATGTGGTAATTACGTTACTGCAAAAAATTACGTGTCAAAATAGTATATATAATACAGTATTGTAAAATTAAAACACGCGTGCGATTGGCACCAGCGAGAGCTTTATATGTATCGTGCATGCTCCAGTCAACATTGATTTTTAAATGAGAGGCCCGGTGCACGAAATTCATACATGGGTGCGGTTCCTAGGCCTGGTCGGTGATCAAAGTGCAAGCGTCTGGCATGGAAGGGCAGGACCCAGCTGATCTCTGGGCCCTGGGCAGCACCTGGGTCCCCGTGCCCCCCTCCACCTCAGTTACAGCGCCTGAGTCCCCATGCAGAGATGCAGTGAGCACGGCCAGATTCCGCAGGCCTGGGTGCAGTGTGGGCCTCTGGTCCGCCCAGCGATGCCACCCAGAAGCCAGGTGGGCAGCACACTCTCTCCTGGCCGGCCTCACAGACTGGCTCCTACGCGAACCCACAGGGAGCCCAACCAGCCCCTGTGGTCCTGGCGTCTGCGGCCTGGCTCAACTGGAAGAGGCTGCCCTGGTACAGGGAAGCTCCTCACGGGCACCCAGCACCTGAGCATGGGGGCTTCCCCAGCATACGAGCCCTGGCGTCCCGGGGGAGGGTACCAGGGGGAGTAAAAGCGAGCTTGGCAGACACCCCACATTCTCACCGCACCTCTGTCCCCATCACCCCCGCCCCCAGGTAGCCAGCGAGAGGCCACAGCATGTCTCCAACGCCTGCCATGTTCCATGCCACCCATTGGTGGTCAGTGCACAGCACAGTGAGCTGTCTAACTCCCTGTCTCCTGGTTGAACCACCCGAGGGGACAATTTGCATATTGGGCTTTTATTATATAGGACTGCCGGTACACATCATATGTACTGGCCTGTCGGTGAATAAATCGCGATGTGGTTCATGTTGAATGTCAACAAAAACAACCAAATTCACGATCAACAATGACAGATCAAAACACATGCGTGCGATTTGCACCAGTGAAAGCTTTATATGTCTCACACGTGCACAAGTCAATGTTTATTTTTAAATTGCCAGTGCACATCGTATGTACCGGCTGGTCGGTGGGACGTCAGACAGACGGATGGTCGGTCACTTAGCCTTTTATATAAATAGATGGCTTGAATATACTATTTTGACAAGAAATTCATTTGCATACGAGGCAATGGCAATTACTGCAATGCTAGCCTGAAGGTTTGAATGATACATTTTTAAATTAACATAAAGGTTACATTCTCTCTATGGAACAGTTACCTTAATCATGTGAGAAGGAAGCTGTGGTCCGATGAACCCTGACGTGGCCTGTTTGTTATTGACGACACGCTGACTGATTACAGGTCTGGGAGAGGACTGGCCGGGGCTGTGGGCGGAATGAGTAAGTTCACCTCCATTTTTCACATCATGGGACCTGGGAACAGAGAGTGACATTGCTTAGGGTTACACAGGACATCTCCTTAGAAGAGATTCATGTATGACTCTCAGGTAACAGACCAACCTGCTGCAGCGAACAGAGCTGCACATGGGCTTTTAGGTCAAGGTCAATGTCAGGTGCTCAGATTGGGAGACCACCAGGGTAACTGGGCAAATGGTACTTTTTAAAAAATATTTTTATTGATTTCAGAGAGGGAGAGGGAGGGAGAGAGAAACATCAATATGAGAATCATTGATCAGCTGCCTCCTGCACGCCTCCTACTGGATATTGAGCCCTCAACCAGGGCATGTGAATTGAATCGTGACCTCCTGGTTCATAGATCGATGCTCAAGCACTGTGCTGCATCTCACCCCTTAGAGCAGTGGTTCTCAACCTTCCTAAAGCCGCGACCCTTTAACACAGTTCCTCATGTTGTGGTGACCCCCAACCATAAAATTATTTTCGTTGCTACTTCACCACTGTAATTTTGCTACTGTTATGAATCGTCATGTAAATATCTGATATGCAGGATGTGTTTTCAGTTACAAATTGAACATAATTAAAGCATAGTGATTAATCACAAAACAATATGTAATTATATATGTGTTTTCTGATGGTCTTAGTTGACCCCTGTGAAAGGGTCCTTTGACCCCCAAAGGGGTCGCGACCCACAGGTCGAGAGCCGCTGCCTTAGAGGCACCTGCTATTCAGATTTAAAAGAGTATCTTCTACACCAGTGTCACCAACCGGTGGTCTGTGAGGTCCGAAAGGTTGGAGACCGCTGCTCTACACTTTAGCCTATACTGGTTTTTCAACAGTATAAAATTTCAAACTGCTTTTCCCGCCATATTTATTGAGCACATTCTCATGTGCCTAAAAAAAAAAAGGTTTGATACAAATTACTTTTAACAACTGCATATTTCAACATGTGGATTTGCTATAATTTATCTGATCATTCTACGACTGATCAGCTGTTACAAATGAATACCTGAAGCACACCTCAGTTTCTCCAAGGCCACGCCCTTCCAGCAATGGAATGAGCGAAACAGTCTTCAGCAAGAACAGGAGAGAAATGAGCAGAGGTGCTGGCGCTGCCCAGGCTGCTCCAGGAAGGTGGCTGCCCGCCTGTGCTCAGCAGCTGAGAGGGGACCACACCCAGTGCTCTGAGCCCCTTCCCGGGGCCCCTATTGCCCCCAGGTCACCCAGTGTGACGCCAGCAGCAGAAGCCTGCTCTCCTCAGCCATCGCCTTTCCCTTCCTCTGAATGTGTCTGGTTAACCTGCCCAACAGCTGGAAGCTAAAGCACACTCAGGACCTACCCGCGAAAGCCCATCCTTACGCTCCCAAGCTTCAAGCCGCAGTTCTAAAAAGAACCCAGTAAGGATCCACATTAAGTGAATTTAAATATGTTGATGAGATGAACAGAAATAAAATTTCAGAAAACTTGAGAATCTGTTCTCCTGACAATACCTGATATAAAAGAGAACATACGCTTGTTGACTGAGTACCGATCTGATATCACTGGTAGATACGATGGAGTCATTCATCTGATACCAGAGACCATTGCTAGCCTGCAAAAGCCAATACAAGAGAGATTCAATATGATTAGGGAAACAGGGAACACTGAGCCAGAGAAATGTAAGAAAAATGCAATTGCCCATTTTAACTGTAAAAGTCTCACCTTCCCCCCAAGAAGACCAGTGCTCCCTTGCAGTGTATTGTGATAAAAGCCATTAGCAAACCCACGGCTCACCTTTATGTAGCAGAAGTAATGGCCGGCGTGGCAGTTAAAACCCGTGTGTACCAGCACTGCATATAAAACATAAATAATCGGTTCTCCGTTTGGTTGAGACATGTATGGTCGAATATCAAGATATTCCGGATATTTTACATCCTAAACAGAAACGGGAGGAGGAAAAGGAGCATTGTTTCTGGAAGCACAGATCATTCCGCGTGTTTGGGTAAGGGGTATGTAGGGGCGGTGTAGGGCAGGATACCTGCAGATCACTCTGCTCTATGACATTCTAGCAGAAACCTAATTCATTGAACCCCATTTCAAAAGACATGATGAACCTGGAACATATTTGAATCTAAGTGTGTTTAATGCAATCCCACTGTATTCTTTATTTTCTTTGAACAATTGAGGATCCATATTAAGTGAATTCTTCAAATTAATCAAAAGAGACAGTTATAGAATGACAATTCTGGGCTTTCATCATCACTTATTTTTATTTTTAATAATTCAGGAATGGATTATTTATTTCTTTTGCATGTCACTGACTTGTTTACCACTTTTAATCTTCAGAAAGTGGACAGGAAATGGGGAGATCAATGTATTACCAATCGGAAAACAGCCAACCAAGAAAACCAACTGGGAAGAGTGGCCAGACACAGCAGAATGTCAAAGGACACACTCTCTCTACCTCACTGACTATGGAGTTCAACTCAGATAAGTTACCCATTTTATCATCAGAAAGTCTAACCAGCTATAGGATACAGAACCACCCCCACCCTCATAAACACACAAAATACACTACTGGCTCAATGCTTTGACATTTTCCTCCCATTACCAAGTGCTGGAAGAATTTAGAAAATCAGGTAACAAAACTGTTCAGTTAGATTGTTTATAACCCGTAATAGTTAATGACACTGAGCCCTGAAAGGCCCGGCTTACAGGTTACTAATGTCTACAAACCTTAGCAATTTTCCCGCCAGTAAAATTGGCAAAGCGTTTCAGAGAAAGTGTGAGAACATTGGAGGATCTGTGTATGGTGAATCTCTTCGAAGCTGGAACCATCTTTTTACATCTTGAAATAAACAGAAACAAATAATTAAGATTAAGTATGTTTTTTGTATATTAGCCTTTCCCTTGTTTTTTCTCTAAACATTCTAAATTAAGTTTCCAAAGGGTACTAGATGAGAAAAACAACCCTTTCAACCAACAGTGAAAATACAAAACTTTAAAATACAGAGAAACTGCTTAATTAGCATGACAGGGACAGGAAGCTGGGATAATTCTGAGCTGATAGCCACACAGGTCACTGATATTCTCAAATTAAGATAATATAAGTTTCTGTCAACTCAAAACAAACTGAAAAACAGATTTCCAGGCTGTATAATTCTGTGAAAACAAAGACCTATCAGATACAAAAGGAAGAAACCTAATGATTAGAAATGTCCATGGAGTTAACACAGAGAAACCCCCGTGGCTCAGACAGAAGGGAGCCTTCTTCCCACAGAATGAGTATTTGATAAGAACAAGTATCACCTGACTCTAAAATGAAACTCTACTTAAACATACAACGCAAGGCTTTTTGAAAACAGGCACTCTTGACTTCAGGGGGAAACACAGTAAGAAATAATCAAAATTAAGAGGTTTCTAGTAGACACCACCAGCAATCCTGGTAAGAACCACAGAGAGATCCAAGGAGAAGTGGCTGCCCTCTAGCCCACCCTTTCCAACAGAGCGGATGACAACACCGCTGCTGGGCTTACCTCTGCTCTCCCTGCACCCCCCCCAGCAGTGAGACCCAGGTCTCCTATAGAGGACACGCCTTGGCCCTGGAGGACAGAGATGCAGTGTCCCCGCAGATGGCATCGGCAGCTAAGGGACCTTTCCCACCCGGGCAGCACCCTGTCGTACTTGCTGCACTTGTACGAGTTCTCGCCGTCCAGCTGCTCGGGCTTCACAAACTGCTCCAGCGCCTTGTTCACACTCTGAGCAGCCTGGGAAGAGAAGGCAGCACACGTTACCTCTCGCTGCTGTGAACCAAGAAGTCACTGGTTTGATTCCTGGTCAGGGCACAAGCCCGGGTGTGGGCTCATTCCCCAGTAGGGGACGTGCAGAAGGCAGCCGATCCATGTTGTCTCTCTCTCCCTCTTCCTTTCTCTCTCAAATCAATTTTTAAAAAAGGAAATGGCTGAGGCTGGTTTGGCTCAGTGGATGGAGCATCAGCCTGCAGACTCGGGGGGTCCCGGGTTCGATTCCGGCCAAGGGCATGTGCCTGGGTTGCGGGCGCATCCCCGGTGGGGGATGTGCGGGAGGCAGCTGATCGATGTTTCTCTCTCATCGATGTTTCTAACTTAACTCTCTGTCCCTCTCCCTTCCTCTCTGTGGAGAATCAATAAAATATATTTTTTTTAAAAAAAGGAAATGTTCTTTTACTATGGCATTCATTTTTATAGGTGGACACATCAAGTTATTTCCCCTCCCATTAAAAATGATCAGATTAAAGTAAATAAAAATATGTGAAGAGGCTGCTGGCTGAAGCATTCTTTAAAAGAGTCTAAAGCCCTAACTGGTTTGGCTCAGTGGATAGAGCACCGGCCTGCGGACTTTAGGGTCCCAGGTTCGATTCCGGCCAAGGGCATGTACCTTGGTTGCGGGTACAACCCCAGGAGGGGGTGTGCAGGAGGCAGCTGATCGATGTTTCTCTCTCATTGATGTTTCTAACTCTCTATCCCTCTTCCTTCCTCTTGGTAAAAAATCAATAAAATATATATTTTTAAAAATTAATAAAATAAAATAGTCTAAAAACAGAAACAAACCAAGTATCTACCAGCGTGGAATCGGGCATGTGACCTGGTCTAGCCACTCACTGGACCATCACATAAACGCCAAGCAGATTGAAAGGAAAACAGCGGTCAGGGGTGAGGTGTGACCCCATTTGTAGGAACAGTAACGCCCTGGGACAGTGTATCAGTGACAGGAACAGCTCATTCTGCAGGATGGACCGTATGTATCTGCAATATTTCTCATTTATCATAAACACATATTACATTCGAAATCAGAAAAAATAAAGCTTCAGAACAGCAAAAAAATGAGACTTTAGATCAGGCAGGAAGCAAAACAATTTCTAAATAATAACCACCATCTACTTTGGCTAATATAGTTATCAGGATCTGATTTTATTAAGATTTAAGTGAAACATCAAAAGGTAATAAAAAGATGAAGTGTTTTAAGATTATGATGCCGACTACAAAGTTCAAATAATCACCTGTACATAAGTCTTAGCATATTAAAATTTTAAATTCATGTTCTCTAACCAGTCAGTCTTAATTGTAAGTGAACTACAAATACATGAAGTTATGTCAAGTCTAACTGGTTTTTAAACTTCACTGTCACAACGATGATCCAGCTTACCTTGATCTCCAGTGTTATATCGAGATACGGGTCAAAAGTATCTGAAACGCCTTTGCAATTTAAACATTTGACTGAAATAAAAACAAAATGCAAAGATAAGCAGAATGCAATCATTATGGCATCCCAACTGTTAAGATGACTGAACACAAAAATACTATTACAAATAAAAAATTAAAACAAGGTACAGTTTCTCCTATCAGATTGGGCAAAAAATTTTAATACTACACAGTGTGAATCTAAGTGCCATGAATTTGGCTCACACACACTGTTGGTTGGAATGTAAGCTGGTATAACCTCTTAGAAGGATGATATGGTGGTGTCAGATTACATACCAGCCTTTTATGCAGAAATTCTAATGCTAAGAATTTATCCTACATATACACTTTTACACGGACATAAAGGCATGTGCACAAAGATATTCATGAGCATTGATGATCATTTAAAAATTAGAAGTGCCCTAACCGGTTTGGCTCAGTGGATAGAGCACCCGCGGACTGAAGGGTCCCAGGTTTGATTCCAGTCAAGGGCATGTACCTTTGTTGCGGGCACATCCCCAGTAGTGGGTGTGCAGGAGGCAGCTGATCGATGTTTCTCTCTCATTGATGTTTCTAACTCTCTACTCCTTTCCCTTCCTCTCTGTGAAAAATCAATAAAATATATTTTTTAAAAATAAATAAAAAATATAAATAAAAATTAGAAGTGACCTAAGTACTCCTCGATAGGGGACTAAAATAAATGGAAAACAACGCAACTGTGCAAGACAATGTTAGACCTGTGTGCTGAAGTGTAAAAACACTTTTCAGTTAGGAGAAACTGAAAGGGACATACCTAACAGCTCCCAGTCTGCTCACCACAGGAAGCCACTGGAAGGACACTAGAAGCTAGCGTGGGGCTGAGAAGGGGGGTGGGAGTCTGGGCTGGATGGAGGACACACTTCCATTCTTAATCCTTTCTAGAGTTGGCTTTTTTTAACCATATGCATGGATTATCTTATCAACTTTTAAAAAAATTCTCTTTATTCATTTACTTATATATTAATTCTCTCCTGAGGATATGTTTTTTATTTACTTAAGAGAGAGGGAAGGGAGAGGGAGAGAGAGTGAAACATCAATGTGAGACAGACACATAGATCGGTTGCCAATCAAGGATTGAATCTGCAATCTAGATATGTGCCGTGACTGGGACTCAAACCTGCGACCTTCCAATGCACGGGACGCCCGGGATGACACTCCAACCAACTGAGCCACACTGGCCAGGGCTACTTTAATAAAAGTTTTAAATGAAAGTTTACCTCTAGATCTCAGGTATCCTCCAAATATCTGACAAACGAGTGTGGTAGCCTGGGTGTGTCTGTCTAATCTGAAAAACAGTCGGACAGTGACGTGAGAGAAGATTCTACAGAAACTACATATGCTACACGAGATCTCAAAGCACACACATCTACAGAAGAGCAAGAATTCAGACGGATTAAGGAGACGTCAGTACTTACTTATTGCTGCCATTCAAGCACGCCTTTTGCATAGCATCAACAGTGTATTGAAGGAATTCATGGGCATCTTCTTGGTTTCCAAAACGGAAGTGCCTAGCTATACCTATGAAGTGTAAGACAAAGCTTTATCATCACCCAAGAGGCCCAGGCGGTAACCCCCAAAAGTTGTATCTTATAACAATACGTTAGTTAGAAAACACCTGATAATCATTATATGGGGAAACAGCACTAATACCAGCTATTCTGAGAGGAGTTAGACCATTAAAAGTCCACATGGACTAGAGTTTGAAAGCCCAGAGAGGAGGCACAGAGATGCTATCCATGGGTTTAGTGAGTTAATGAAGTTGTACTTGAATAAATTCAACTTTAGCTATATTGCCTCAAAATTTGTCCACAATGTTATGTTACTCCACACATCTTAAATTTGGTGCTAATCTCCCTAAGTCTAAGAGAATCCATGCAGAACACATCAATGTCGAAACCTATCTAAATTCTATCCTGATAACCATGTATGTGTGTGTGTGTGTGTGTGTATGTACATTCATGGATGTAAGTACACACAAACACACAGAAATTACATTTTCTTAAAGATTTAGGTTGAAAAGTGTTAATCATGCCTTATATTTATTTATTTATTTATTATACATTTATTAATTAAACAACAAAAAAATCATCCTCAGCTAAAATTTTGCCAGGAACCAATGATGTTTAAAAAATGCTTACATTGTAAATATTTGTAACTGTATGATTATCCGCCCCTGTAATTATCTAGCTAGATATCACATTAAGAAAATTTTGTGCAATCTGTATCATTACAATGCAAGAGAAAGATTTAAAAGTCATTTAAAAATTAAATAGAAAAATAAAATTTATCTACAAATTTGCTAAGGTAGGAGTATAAATCTTTCTTTAAAAGTGTAGTTTATTTTGGCAATTACTGTCACTCTGTATAGTATAATCATTAACTGAATTAAAACTAATTCAAACCAATTTAAAGAAACATGTAGGACAATATTAGAGTTAGTATTACTCAGCATAAAAATCCAAATATCTAGGGGAAAAACTCATTGTAAAATTACTAATGATGTTATTAACAAATTGAGTAAATATTTTTTTCATTTGTTTACATTAAACTGAATACTATTTTCTTTTTATATTGCTATCTTTTGCTTTAAGGTTTCAAAATCTGTTTATATAGTAAATGTCTGACTAAGAATGTTATTAAAGGCATCTACACATATGATAAAATATGTTTGCTTGTTTTTATAATAAACAGGCTCATCTTTTACCAAATAGGCCATTAAGACCAATTAGCTAATAAATACTAATATAAACAACTATAGATGATACTTACGCCGCATCTCATTAATGACAAACATTGGTTTAATAACATCCCCAGGATTACTGAGTGCCTGGGTGATATGTGCTTGCATTGTACACATCATACAAAATCCTTCTGCATGACCTGAAAGATAACAGATAATAATCCTCCAAATTAGTAAAATATGACTCTACATACACATCAAGAGATACTACACTCCTGAAATGAAATAATAGTAACAGCTATCATGTATCATGCACTGAACCATATACTTTTGTTCACTGTCATTTAATTCCCCCAAAATCTAACTGATAAGTATACACTGACTCTAGTCTACAAGAGAGGAAACTGAAGTTCAGAGTTAAAAACTTGCCCAATGTCATGCCCTGGCTGGGTGGCTCAGTTGGGTGGAGCGTCGTCCCATACACCAAAAGGTTCCAGGTTCGATTCCCAGTCAGGGCACATACCCAGGTTTCGGGTTCGAGTCCTGGTCAGGGCACGTATGGGAGGAGACCAATCTATGTTTCTTTCTCACATCGATGTTTCTCTCTCTCTAAAAATCAATAAAAACATACACTTGGGTGAGGATTAAAAATAATTTTTCCCCATGTCAAAAAGTTATTAAGTGGCAGACACATAACAATCAAATCATACTCTAATTTCAAGGCCTGCATTAACCACTCTCTATGCTGGAAAAATGCTATTTTTCACACACTGCCATCTGTCTCACACGGGAAAAGAATGTCTCCCACACTGGGGATTGGAAATCTCTCTATAAATATTTGGCTTTTTTGGCCACATACAGTGGTCTCATTACTGCTGCTGCTTTTTTCTTCCTTTCTACAACTTTTTATTTATTTATTTATTTATTTTAAAATATTTTATTTATTGATTTGCAGAGAGAGAGAGAGATATTGATTTGTTGTTCCACTTATTTATGCATTCATTGGTTGATTTTTGTATGTGCCCTGACTGGGGATCGAACCCACAACCTTGGCATATTGGGATGATGCTCTAACCTAGTTCGGCAAACTGCAGCTCTTTGGTACCTTGAGTGTGGCTCTTCCACAAAATACCACGTGCGGGCGCACACGTACAGTGCGACTGAAACTTTGTGGCCCATGCGCAGTCGTCGGTATTTTGTGGAAGAGCCACACTCATGGAGCTAAAGAGCCATATGTGACTCGCGAGCCACAATTTGCCGACCACTGCTCTAAACAACTGAGCTACCTGGCCAGGGCCTTACTTCTCTTTTAATGATTTCAGAGAGAAAGGGAGAGGGAGAGGGAGAGAGAGAGAGAGAGAGAAACATCAATGATGACAGAGAATCATTGATCAGCTGTCTCCTACACGCCACCTACTGGGGATCGAGCCCTTCAGTCGGACGCTCTATTCACTGAGCAAACCGGCTAGGGCTCTACAACTTTTTAAAGGCTAAAAACCACTCTTCGCTCATGACTATGTGGTGCTACTGGCATCTAGAGGGTAGAGGCCACAAGTGCTGCCGAGCATCCAGCAAAGCACAGAACAGCCCCTCAACAAGGAACTACCTGGTCCCAAATGCCACCAGTGTTGAGGTTGAGAAACACTTTCTTAAATTAAAGGCTGCTCAGAACCTGCCTAACAAAGCTTTAAAAGTCTCCAAAGGACCCAAACTATTTCCAATTACCATAACTGGGTCCCTGAACAAAGCTGAAAAATATTTATAGGAATATTTTTCCCTCTAGAAATAATATAATTTTAATAATCTAGCACCCAACCACATAAAATTCTTAAGTAGGAGTACAAGGCATGTATGTAAAGCAGTAATGACCAAGAACAAGAAATAAACATAAACAGATCCAGAAATAACACACAATAGAATCAAAGACCTTCAGAAAGACATTATACACATGTTTATATGTTCAAGGAGGCAGAGAAAAAGCAAAAGCATGTTAAGAACAGATGAGGAAACAGGCCCATTTGTACTTTACAACTGAAGGCAGAATTTCTGAGATGAAAAATGCACCAGGTCGGATTAATAACAGGTTAGACTGAGCAGTATAAATTACCCATAATGAAACACAGAAAAACAAAAACTCAAAATAACAGAAAACATAAGCATATCATTGAGCAGTGGGACTACATCAAGTTGTCCCTAATATGCATGTAAATAAAATCTTTCAAGAAATGATTGTCGCCTGTGGTTTGGCTCAGTGGGTAGAGCATCGACCTATGGACTGAAGAGTCCCAGGTTCAATTCCGGGCAAGGGCACATGCCTGGGTTGCAGGCTCGATGCCTAGTCGGGGACATGCAGGAGGCAGCCGATCAATGCTCTCTCATCACTGATGTTTCTCTCTCTCTCCCTTTCCCTTCCTCTCTAAAATTATAAAAATATATTTTTAAAAAAAAGGAAAGAAAGAATGATTGTCTACAAAGGTACAACACAAGGGAGTTTTTACAGTGATAGAATGGTTTTGTGTCCTGACTAGAACTGGTGGTTACAAGAAACTATACCTGTGCTAGAATTCATAGAACTGTAGGCCAAAAAATGTTGACTTTATGTTAAATATAAAAATTAAGTGTTTCAATAACTGAAAGTCATACAAATTTGAAACAGCACACCACAAATGTAAGAACCTCAACAAACCCTAAACAGAAAGAAACATGAAACCAACACAAAGAAACACTCAAATTGCTTAAAACAGTGATCAAAAAATTTTATTTTTTACCTTTTTATTTATTGACTAGAGCCTTGATGCACGAAATTCGTGCAAGAGTAGGCCTTCCTTCCCCTGCCTGCCAGCACCGGCCTCCCTCCGGCACCCAGGACCCAGGCTTCCCTCGCAGCCCTGGCTTTGTCCAGAAGGACCGTCTGGTCTAATTAGCATATTATGTTTTTATTATTATAGAATTTATGAAGAAAGTGGAAGGGGGAAGGAAACACT